TTTTATTTGTCTCATCTCCCCCAGTCCTCCCCAGCGTCTAGAGAGGCTGGGGAGGAGATGCTAATGATCCTGATGAGCCAAGGAGCTTGAATGCAAACAGGAATTCTTCCTCCTTCCATTTATCCTGTATGTATCACTCTCTCTTCTCTCCCCTGGGTTTCACTTTCACTCTCTCCTCTTTCTCCCACCCGAGTGTCCGTGCTGGGAAATAGTCTTTAGAAGGTCTTTTCAGTCTTTTTCAACCCATTTTTTCCACTGATGATGTTGTTTCTGAGTTTGTTGATTTTTTTGTGTTCTATTTGTTGTGAAAAAGATTCCAGGTGACCCGCTGATTCTTGTTGTTTTTTACCCCCTACCGTGGTGTCAAAAGCTTAAAGGGTCAGGCATGAGGCCCCTGCGGGCGGCCCGTCAAGGATGTTCAGATGTACTAACATGTCTGCTCGGAAGACACCTTTAGGTGAAGGGTAAATATGCTCTGGCTCTGTTTATACAACAGCTACGCAGCAGGTAGAGGCAGGCGATGTTTGATTCCTGGCTCTCTGGGGATTATCTGGAGCGGTCCAGTCCGCTCTGCTGCTGCCGAGCCTCTTTCGATACTTATCTAAATGTTCTCTTCACGTAACCTTCATTAGTGGAAGAGTCAAATGCATTCACACAGGAAATTGAACCTGACTGCGCTTCAGTAGATTGTAAAATGTGAACCCAGCATGGAAATGCTGTTGGAAAACCAGACCGGTTCCAGTACTGTTGCTCATCAGTTTTATCGACATTGAGCTTTCTCCACCGCCAGGCAAGTAGCCTCGATGTTTCACGCAGAACTATAAAGTGAGTACGTAGCATTCATTTATCAACCATCTAAAATAATGGTCGTGGTTCACGCACGTGTTGGGGCGGAACGTACGTGGCGAGAAGACAATTGTTGATTGATATTTATTCAGACTTTCTTGTGGGTGCGGGGCTGGCGGTTGGAGGGATGGGGCGCACCCCTTGTTCAATAGTAGGTGAAACACTAGACTGAAACCGTCCATTTCATTGCCGATCAAAAGCAGAAACACATTTGAACTCAACGGGAAAAAAAACAAAAATCCTCCACGGTGTGTTGGTTAGACTTTTCTATCGTCTTTCCATAACACCCACCAACTCAGGTTGCATCAGAAGTTTTAATTAATGATGTATCCTAAGCTGCTTAGAGATGGAGCTGGAAAGTTAAACGGCCCATTATTCCCTTTCTAATATTGGTTTTGTGTTGCCGGCGGCAACTCCCAGTTTGCCCGATTGCAGCCGATGCAGAAGTGTCTTAAACCGCGAGTTTACTCTCCCACAATTGACAGATTGCTGCGGATACGATAGCCATGCAAGCGTTGCAAATGTGGTCTTTATTCATTGCGAAATACAAACTGCCTAGCAAGGGCCTTATCCAAGATGGCAGCAGCAAAAATACAGCTGCTGAGTGGCATCCTGATGACTACATTCTCCTCCAATAGAGTCTACGCACCCAATCAAAATTATTACTTGACAGAGCTTGAAATCCAACTCAAAAAATTGGCATTAATTTGATGCTGTGGGAATTAGCCGAGTGGGCTGTCAACACCGGATGTTAAGCAGCCCTCCTACTGTTGATTTCACAACAGATTTGTTGTGCACAATATCAGAAAGGAGAAACTAGAAAACCCTACAGCACATCTCCAATCTGACTCATCCCTCAGAGATCACATGGGTTTCTCCCTTGCCCATCAAGACAACTGCATTTGGAATTCCACCTTCCCACTCTGGCTGATTGCGTCAGGTCATTTGAAGGGGTCGCTTTCTCCCACTTAAACTTCCATCCCTTCCATGTATTCGCTTAGTATTGCATCAGACCCTTCCATGCTGTGAATAAGACAGACTAAAAAGTGGCATTGGCAGACACCCAATATCAAATGGACTCAGATTGCAATCAGTGCAAAAAAACACACAAACAGTTGGCAGAACCACCACAGCATGGTGATTAGATGGAGAAAACAGTGGCAATGACTTGATGATGAAATTAGCCAGTCCCACTTAATGGTGACGAACAGTTTGCGCACGTTTAGGGTGTGTCTATATAATTGTGCATAGTTTGTCCAATGCTTTTGCAGCGTCTACCAGGGGTGCACCATCAGTTTGCAGTGACGCTTCCGTGACATTTATGGGCACAACCGTTTGCCACATTTCCACACGTCCCAAATACAATATGCCCCAACATTTGCACATTATTCATCTAAGGAGGGACCGCGAGGAGAGAAGACAGCGGAAATACAAAAAAAAAAGGCTGGACAGCATAACATGAAGCAGCAGAGAAGGGCAACACAGAAAAATGTCTGGCTCCTCTACCTCGGAAGACATGAAGCACAGGAGTCCGCTGAGGATTTAATCACAGACTGAAATTATAGCAGCCACTGAGTAGCTTCTTGAAAAGATGTGCCGAGGGAGGAAGGACAAGAAAAAGCTTTGTTTACTGGTCTGCCCGAGAAGGCCGGAGCAGCCGTCCGTGATGAATAATCAGAGGTAGAAATGTATACACGGAGCAACTGAGAGAAATGTTTTCACGTTAATACAAGTGCGCCCGTGATCTGATCAGCAAACAAGGAGAGAAGGCGCGCTTGTGTGATGGAGAGGAGTGTTTGAATGAAAGAACAACAAACTTTACATTTTCTGGTCCTTTTCCTGCAGTTTCTTATCGGCTTTCGAGCTCAAATCTGTGCAGCGTCTGATGGATCATGCCGTCGCTAATGAGAGCTGGATATGTCCACATTTACCTGTCGCCCTAACGATAAGTAATGACCGTGGCTTAGCTAACACAATTAACTTCGCCGGCGCGGGGAAAAATAAAATTCCCCTAGAATGAGGTATTATGTAAATTATTAATTACCACATAGATGATTGCAATCTTGTTCAGCTGCCCATTGGCGGCGAAATAAATGTGAATGATTGCGAAGCAGAGAAAGGAAAATAGCAGAGAGATAATCCCGACACGGTGGGGAGTGCTGGAAATATTCAACTAATACCGCCGGCACCTTAAGCAATTTATAGAAAACATTTGCGTTCGCAGCTCAACCACTAAAACACAACCTGACTCAACAAATGCAAACCGTAAACCACAAACGATGAGCGCTGATGTTCACATCGTTTTTGCATTTCTTCCAGTGAGACAAATGTCAACACTATTACATTTCCATTTATCCATAAAAAGGATCTCCATCTTCAACATGACGGTTAAAATATAATATAAGAGCCACAGTAAAGCGATCTGCTTTCAATTTGAATTTCAATCCAGTGAGACACAATCATCTCCATTCAACGAGGGATGCATGTTTTATGAGCTATAGTTCCCACAAATGCGGTGACATGCACGTGTGCGTGTGCACGACTGGAAGAGAGTGAGTAATGAACAGATAAAAAAATCTGGCGCGAGGGGTAAAGGCGGCGAGGCGGAGGGGGAGTCACACGGATCCAGGAGGAGGAAAGAGAGTCACGGAGGGAAAGTGATCTCTCGGATTCGCCGTCCCGGCTTAATGGCACAGCGTCCACATGGGAGAGAGGGTGGAAGCCAGCCTGTGTGCGAGATGTGATGAATCCAAAGATCACCTCCAGCCTCCACACACACACACACACACACACAGTCATTTAAAAAACTCAAATTAACTGCACAGCTTCTCTGTTTACAAGGAACTGAACTGGTGGTTTTCTCTCTGCCTTTGATTCAGTAGTTTGTCTTCTCCCCTCATTCTCCCTCCATCTCTCTTTCCTCAGGATATAATCAGCACAGCTCCCCAATATGGTGTCAATACTTAACACGGAATTCCCAAACCCCCCTCCCGTCCGCCCTCCCCCCCTGCACTCCCTCCCCGGCCCCCCAACCTGTTCCCCCTGCTGTGGCCATGAACAATACGTCTGGCTGACTTTGACAAATGAAAGCAACTCGATATATGGAAATAACCTTCAGCGGATGACAGGGAGGGAAAGAGGGAGCCGCGGATCGGGGGGGGGGGGGGTTCTGCTCCGGGAAAGGGAGAGGAACAGAGGATGAAAGAGGGATAGAAACACATAGATGGATGATGGGACACATGGAGCGTGGAATGGTATTTCCACACCGTGTACAGCATGAGAAGAGATGGGAGGAAAAATAGGCCTGCGTTTTCAAATGTCAACATAGATAATAAGTTGCCGCGGCTGAAACACGTTTAATAATCTGTGTCGGAAAGACGGTTTATCTGACCTGAAAAGAGCATTGGTCCAGAAGAAAAAATAAAACGTATCTGTTACCATCCTTCCATGCACATGTCCATCCATTAGAGCTTTTACAACTGATCTCACCACGTTTTAAAGTAGCGTATCGTCGTCATACTGAAGTGCACAAACAACACAATTTAATTTTCCTTTGGCAAGAAGTTTGGTCCTCTCAAACTAGTTAAATATTTGTTTATAATCCATTCCCTGGATGTTAATCCAAACCAAACAGCAACATGCCAAGAAGAGGAAAATCCCACCCGACTCACTACGTTGTCAATTACCGTCCTACAGGAATCGGAAGACAAATTCCCAGGACAGATGGGACAAATTGCCGTGCATCAACTGCTCCCCATTTATTTTTTCCTAAAGCAAGCTTTCATAATGACTAGAAGATTAATATGTAATAATTAAAAACACATTTCTATGTCCTATAGCACACGTATGCACTTTACCTACCAAAGGCACACGCGCACAAACACACAAACCAGCAAGAGCGGGTCGTTAAGCTGCATTGTTGTGTTCCTCTCTGCTCAGCAGGATAACGGCTTGATTGACACCGAGGTTCCCCATTTAATCACCTGCCTGTGACTGGAAATGCGTCATGCAAGCGATGCACAGCCCCAAAAACTATATATACACACAACTGTGCATGAGTGAAGATACGGGACACACGTGCACACTCTAGTCACAAAGCAGTAGGCACCTGCCGAGCATCAGTCAGCGCGCCACGCAGGCACAAGTTAACTCACCAGCTCCAAGTGACCAGATGAAAGCTTTAGAATTGGACCTCGGGGAATCTTCTCTCCGTCTCTCTCTCTCTGTGTGTGTGTGTGGCAGTACACGGACGTCCTACGGGCCACTCACCCGTCCTGTGCGGCTCGCCGTTAGCGCGTCGATGTCTCGGCCAGGTGGTATGTGGTCCTGCGGTTTGCACGGGACTCGGATGTGCTCTCACCTCCCTCTCCTCGCTCTGCCTCACACGGCTGCAGGGGGATGTATGAGGACCGGCAACGTGGTTCAGCTCTCTCTCGCTCTCTCTCTGTGTGTCTCTCTCTCTCTCCGTCTCTTTCTCTCTCTCTCTCTCTCTCTCTCTCTCTCTCTCTCTCCTCTCTCCATTGATCTATGTATCTGTGTCTGTCTCTGCTAGTGCAGCCTCTTGTGGCTGCTTTCTGTTTTGCTGTGAAAGTTTAATTGCAATGAAAATAAGGCTGTGGTGTAAATTTTGATGTACATCATTTGCAGGATCAATTGACCTCCCAATCATTTTTTGAATAGTTGGTTAACTCAAAGTGACGTGTAAAAATACATGTTGGTTTATTCTGAAAAACAGAAAGAAAAAAAAGCTTTATTTGTTGTACTTGATAATCATCTAGCTGAGGATGGTAATGTTGAGTTCTCTCCGGTGCTTTTGAGCAAGGGAAGGAAAATTATGTGTCCCTTGTGTTTTTACTAAGACATATTTCCATTACCTCGTGATGAACTTTTTTTTTTGTGATTCTTTTTGTGAAACACCTTTTCTAACAGTAATATCAGTAATATAAATAATACAACTATCCTGATGATAGCCGATGGTAGCTCATTCAAAAGGACGAAACTTGACTAATAAGGAAAAATACGTCTCAAGCAGAATTACTATGAGACACAGAAGAATCCTATGAACACTAATGGAGACATAAAGGACCAGTGGACACAATTCAAGTTTAAGAGTTAAATTTAACCAATGTCACTGATAATGTGCTAAAATCGAGCCTCACGTATTAAAGAACCATTAGAGTGACCCTAACTATGATATTGTATCTTGTCCAGAGCACGTGAACGTCTCCGTTGACAGGTAGCCGAGGGCTAGCTGTGTTAGCCTTCGGTTAGCTAACGCTAGCTAACGTTGGCTTAGTGAAGCTTCTTTTTTTAAATGGACAAAGTAATAGTGGTAATTAACGTTGGAAAAACAGGACACCGTGATACAATTAGCAAGTTTTGCAAGTAAACGTTAAGTAACGTTTACCTAAGCTTAACTAGTCAAGATGTAGCCTTAGCTAACGGCCTCTAATTGCGCAACATTGACGCTAACCTCAATGTACACGCACGTCTCGTATCAGCGCAAACCACGATTCACGTAATTGAAGGGAACTCACCAGAGAAAAATAAGACAATCTCAGCAAACCTTTCGGAGAAGATCAAAAACGACAAAAACAAACACATCATTCAAATACTGTACGAGTCAGTTGCATGAACTCCAAGGTGAGGAGTGCGGCCCACCGGGGGACCGGGACCCAGCTGCACAATGTGCCCCTCCTCACACCTCCAGCGCCAATAGGAATACAGGAGGACTTTATACTTTAAATCACATGCAATATTTGGTAATTAATATAGTTAATCATATTACCGTTATGATACCTCAGGGGGGTGAATTGAATCGTGGGATCACGTGGTATGCATCAAGAGCAGAAATATATGAAGCTACAATAATAATAGTTGTTTTGTATGATTTGTTGTGTCCCATACACCCTTAAAACCTGTTTGGTATTCATTAGAATCTTCACTCATAATTTGTATATTTACTGCTTGCACACACTTCTACTGGAGCTCTGAGACATTTAGGAACTCAAGCATTATTACCCTTTGGCCTGTGAGAGTAGTCAACAACTGAACTTTGAACTCATGTAATTGTTTTCTATTTTATTGACATGTAATTTATTAGTGTATTTAATTATTTGTGAATGGTTGCATTAATGGAATTAATTGAAGATTGATTATGACCTAACATATATTTAATTTACTCATTTGTTTTACTCATTTGTATTACTCGTAATATTTTCCTTTTTATGTAGGGAAAGGTTGGTATTATATGCAACACAGGTACCTGAGTAGTTTTAAACACACACATATGTTATACCACACACTACTACACTAATGGTCGTTAGTCTGGACAACATGAAATATCAAGATTGCTTTGTTTCACTGAAAAAATAAGAGCGACCATGTTTACTTTTTTTCTTAACTGACCCTTTCCTAACCTGTCTTGCTGTCTTGACGTGAGAAAGCCTTCTGCACCGACCCTGGCGTTCATGGGTAAAGTGTTTTTTATGTTATGTGAAAACCACAGCAGCGAAAGTGTAGGAGGTGAATCCAGCACGAGGTCATCGACTGTTCATCATCTAATGGACTATACAAGAAAAACGTGTTTTAGATGGGTGTTTGAAAAGCAGAAAACGCCATCTTCTATCAGTGAAAAAAATGAATACTTTGCAAGACATTGTCCCTAGTGAGGAATGAATTGTCACACCTGTAAGTTGGGTTTTTGTCCTGTCTCCATGGTTGTTTTGTGGTTGTTTTGTGACCTGTTTTATTTTGGAAATTAACTCTCCTCTCGTTTCAGGTTCCTTGTCCTTCCTCACCTGTCACCAGTCTGATTGTCTTCCCTGATTCCTGATTGTGTCCACCTGTTCCCACACCTCCCTCATGTGTACTTATAGTCTGCGTCTCCCCTTGTCCTCTGCCAGTGTGTCATGTCCTTTGCCTTGTACACCCGCCTCAGGAAGGAATCAAGCCCAGGTCACCGTTTTTGGTCTTGGCCTTGTGCCGTTTACAGCTCCACATTGATTGATTGTTTTTGTTTATTCCTCGGTAAACAAGTGTTTGGCTTTTTCTTTTCGTTACCTAGCTCGCTCAGTTCTGCTGAAGCATTTTACGTTCATCTCTCTTCGGAGAAGTTTTATGTTTCCAGGGTCGCGATTTTTGTTGGACAATAAAAACTGAGTCCGAGTACTCACCAAAAGCCCCCCGTGACGTGAATCACACAAACCACAACAAATTTACATAGAATTTAGTTCATTTTACTTTTTTCCAAAGCGACTTATTTCTTTCTAACATACATTAATCATGGGTAGCAGCATACAATCCATGTGCCAAATTTAACTAATTTATTTGAATATTTCAGAATATTACCTGAACATAAAAGACACAGACCTTAGGAACAGCACTCAACAATACTCGACACCATCCTGTGCTCATATTCACATCATAATATTATGAAACCGTGAAAAACAGGTGACGAGCCTTAAGGAATTTCCCATCAAATAAATATTCACACAATCTGAGACCAGTGATCTCAGTAGGTGAGACTTGCGGCGCTGTAAAATAAATCTACATACATTGTAGTACATTGCTTCTTTTTCCCCTGCTGCAAATAACAGTCATGATTTCTAAACAGCGACGGCAATGTTGATCATTTTAAACAGTCGTTTCCATGCAAAACGCAATAAAACAAGCTGTTCTGTTCAGAGCTCAGCACTCGCTGCTGCTCTAGTGAGCGTCCGATTTATTTACCTCTTACAGAAAAAACATTCATGGGGGAATAAATGCGATGCCAACGACATTTCACACATTGTACTGACGTTCATTGCATCATTGTCATTTATGGGACTGAGAAAGTAAGCAATTTTCCCGACAATCGTATGGTAAAAAAGATAACCTCAGCCTTTCTCCCGTGGCCTCCGCTGCTCCCAATATGTTTCTTGTCAAACAAGGCTAAACAAGCCTTATTCCTTATTTATACCACTGCAATATCTTCAAGAGCAAAGCACCAGGCCACGCTGTCTGTATTTACTTGAGATTGGATGAGATGCTGAACTATACAGTGTGAGGCTGTTAATCCTTTTTTCTTTTTTTTTCTTTTTTAAATCAACAACATGGTTGTCGTTAGCAATGTAACCATTGTTGTGCTTTGCTGTGGGAAAGTGGCTGTCGAGTGAGAAAGGCAGCATATGTGGTGAATGAATGATAATAATAATCCAGCGCTGCTGTAAAGCTCGGGAAGCTGATTCCATTAGAGCCACAGAAGGATTCACGACAGATCAGACGCATTCTTCTTTGGAAACATAGCGAAAGCAGTAAGCCTGGACTGAGTAGAGACCTTGGTCTGTGATAAAATATCGGCACGGGCATCTCAGAAGAAAGGCCGTCCAGAACTCCTTCTCAGTTTAGAAACTCACTGTGTAGAAGTTGAGGAGATTAGATGTGCATAATGGCCATGAAGCCTTTCACTCTTTTATTGCCGCTTTCCCGTTCAACAAACCAGTTAAAAAATGACTTGCTTATACAAATATTAACTTTGAAAAGGGTGAAGATTTAATCAAACTTTGGTCGGGTAAATGTAAAAATGAATGAATGGATGTTTTTGCTTTTATTCAGACATAAAGTCAAAGAACACCGTAAAAGACTGGCATGTAAAAAACTTTTTTTAATTAGCAAAATAAAGCAAACTCAGGCCTTATATCTTAAATTGAAACGTGTCACAGGATAGAAATATAAAAGTCTACAGCCATTTTAACTACGATGTGAAGCTGTACTTGAAGGCACATCACTGCTTTGAGCTCATTGCATCAGCACTTTAACACACTCAGTGATAATGATACAAAGGTATAATCTTTAATAACACGCTCAGCAACTTGGTTTGCCATGTTAGAATGCCCCAAAATGTGTAATTAGCACTTACACCAGTTGAGATTAGTAAACAGTCATTAGTTTTGACAGGTTTTTGGCCTTGATGGAATGTAACTAAGTACTTTACCGTAGATTTCCGGACAGACTAATGATCAGGACGGACAGCTGAGTGGGCTTCAGTTTATGTTTACAAATCGGAGTGCTGCGGAGTTTTTTCAGAAATGAGTGCAGTGTTTGAACATCTGTCACAGGAGTTTAATTGCCAAGGGAAACTATCTTGCCTTTTCTAGATGACAGGACTAGTTCATTTCTATACTTAATTAAACATGAAAATGTTCTTTCTTATAATTAAAGATCCACAGAACTGGCTGAATAAAGTAATCTCAGGTGTCTCCACACTTCATTTGACTTCTTTTTAGCACCGCGCCGGCACCAGGAGAGGGCTCTGTCACTGAGTCTTTGTCAAAGCAAAACAAAGACTGGGGCACAACCTCACCAAGGCCCTTGGATGTTCAGGCTGTACATCAAATTCATCAAATTTAATTCATTTATTTTTAGTTGAGAAAGCTAAC